CCCCTAATTTTTATTACATTTATTGATACATATTGATGTCCTTATACTGTGTAGAAAGTTTGAGCTGATTCTGATAACAGATTACTGAGTTATGAACTCCATACAGTTACATGTATATCTATTTTTAGCTTATTGGTTCACATCTATGGCGGTCAAGATCTATTTGTGAATGAGTACAGAACTTTATTGTCTGACAGACTATTACTATCACTTGACTATGATGTCACAAGAGAAGTAATACCCCAATATTATTATTATTATTATTATTATTATTATTATTATTATCATCAATGTTAATATTAGCTTATCTCTCTTTTAATTAATTTCTTTTTTTTGTTTCTCATAACTTCAATAGTTAAGGAACCTTGAGTTATTAAAGCTGAGATTTGGAGAGAGTAACCTCCATTACTGTGAAGTGATGATTAAGGACATCACAGACTCAAGGAGAGTGAATGGACTCATCAACAACAAACTATCAATCAAGAAACAGCAACAGGTTCACACATACACACACATGTACATTAACATTATTATTTCTATTATTGTAGGGTGATGGTGATGATCATGAAAATGATGTTATTATTAATTCTTTCATTCTTTCGCATATTTTTTGGCCTTCGTTTAGGATAGAGACAATGAAGCTACCAGCTTTTATTCAAAAGTATCAATAATAAGAAATGTTACTTTTAAAATAAATTCTTTCTTTATTCTTCTAGAAAGCTTGACGATTATAATAAATCCTTTCAAGAGATAAAAGGGATGAGGGAGTTGAAATGGTGCCATGATCTTGGACAGGTTCAGCTGGAACTCGAAGTCAATGATCAGATACTCAACTTTCAAGTGTCTCCATCAAGAGCCAGTGTGATATGGCAGTTCCAGAATAAAAGTAAGTATATATAAACTGTTTTTTTCATGCTGTACTTATCATGCTACTCTAATAATTAGTGCATTTTATTATATTTTTATTATTGTACATGTACATGGTTTTAGATTCCATTTCTTGATCTTTTCTATTCTCATTTTTCCATTCTTGTTTTTCCATTCTCGTTTTTCCATTCTTATTTTTCCATTCTCATTCTAAGGTGTATGGAGCGTCGAGGACCTGAGTACTGAACTAGAGAGCACACCTTCAGTTATAAGACGTCACTTGCTCTATTGGGCGGGGCAGGGTGTACTCTGCGAAGAGAAGGAGGGTGAGGTTTTTAAGATATTTGAGAAAGAAGGAATGGACGATACTTATCACGAAGGTAAGTACTAAAGAGGTGGGCGTGACTAATTTATTTTATTAGGGGGCGTGTTTGAGGAAGAGTCGGCAATGTCTTCCATGAAAAGCCAAAAAGAAAACGATTTAGAAGTATATGCAAATATTGTCACTTTTTACTTTTTTGTACCGCATATATTTTGAAATTTTTTGCTGGAATTTAATTTTGCTGTTTGCTGTTCATTATGAATGCTTCTCTCTCTGTACCCCACAGGTGGTGTGGTCGTATGTCACAGCCATGTTAACCAACCTCGGTCCAATGTCACTTGACAAGATACACAACATGCTAAGTATGTTCATGTTATCAGGGCCGGGCGGAGGAGGAGGGGCGGGTCAGTCCAGCTGTACTGTAGCCGAATTGAAGGCCTGCCTTGATAAAAAGGTGAAGGGGCAGGAGCTGATGTGTACTGGAGGAGTCTATCAGCTTTGTAAGAATAACTGAAGGGAAAATTGAAATGACAGAAAATTAAATTGAATGACGTTTAGTTTAATTGATATCAATTGATCTGTTTCTTGTTTTTAGTATAATTATATGTTACTTGAATAAACAATTTGGTATCGTAATCTTATTTCATTTTCACTTTATGTACATACAAGATTCAGGATTTCCCTACTCTGCATTACAAAATTTTGTGGGGCAATCAATTAAAAATTTTTATTAGTTCATATTTTTAGATCCATCCTAATTTTTTTATTCTTAGAGCAGCAATAAAAAAAGACCCTTTACAATAAATCACACGTAAATTACAACCAAAAAAAAAAGAAAAATAGGAAAAAAAATTATAATAATATTTTCAGCATGTATGCATGTACAAACACATGTACATCAATTAGAATTAACATAACAATAATAATAATATGATAATAATAATATAGATAATTTATAGTGTGCAAGCTTTAATGTATCTATCCATTCGTTTGCAGTAGTGATGGTTTTCTCCAATTAACGTCCAGCTCTTTTCCTAGAGATCCAGCCCAACAGAGCGCATATCGCAATCACTCCAATGACAACAAACAGGACTATAGCAAGACCATCTCCAACACCAAATCTGTAAGCACTGACTGGCTGGAAAAATACCGAGAAGAGGGTCAAGAGAAGTGGTAGGACTAGTAGCTTTTCCATTGGGCGTGGTACCAATCTAAAAAAGGCAAGGGAGAGAAATGTGTCAATTTTTGTTGCTTTTTCTGTGTCTCTATTGTGCTCCTTAGCTCACCAATATAGATATAAAGAGTAGTTTTAAAATGGAGGAAGGCTTGCAGCTTCAGGCTACCTGCAGGACTTTCTTCTCTTTTGTTTGTCCTCTCAAAACAGAGTCACATGCACCGGATCACGTGACTATCATCGATAAGGCTCACGTGATTCTATCCTGTCTCCATGGCAACTAATTACTTTGGCGGGAAACTTATGGCAGCATGGAAACGAATGGGGAGGAAATTTTGCAAGTTAGTAAGGTCAGAAAACCTGGTCATCTTTAAATCTTTTATTTTTAGAGGCTTCAAAGAGATCTCAATTGTCTCTCAGACCAAAACAAGACTACAAGAAGGCGCTCTATTGAAAAGATAAGGAAAGAAATTGGCAGCCATGTTTCTGCTCCACCTCTCCTCCATTGGCTGCTGGATAATGGCCTACTCAAGCCTCTACTTAAACTATTCACCGACCCAGCTGAGAAATGCAGGGAACTAGCCATTAACTCTGTACAAGAGTACGTCACAATTGAAATTAATTATTAATTTTATTTAATTAATTTTTAGAGCAATGGTGGGTGTGTCTGACCACGCCCATTTCCTTCCACTTATAATTCCAATTATTGTCGCAAGATTGGGTATTCCAGACATAACAGAACCATCTGAAGAAATACGGTATTTATGGGCGTGGTTATTTTTAATAATATAGGTGTGGCTTGTAGGCTTTTACTCGTGAGTTTCCTTGTTAAACTATTGGAGTTATGTGGGAAGGATTTTACTCCTTATCTCCATGATATGGTAACAATATTACGATATACACTAATTGATCCATACCCTGAAGTGAAAAAGGTAATGAAAACATTAAAATATTTGTGCACTTTAAATAATCTTTCTCTCTCTCTCCCTCTTTTTAAAGGAAAGTTGTACTTGTACCATTAAATTAGCTAAGTCAGTTCCAGCTGTCTTTAATCAAGAAAGCGAAATAATCGTCAAATCGCTATTGCAATCAATCGGTCATCAACACTCCAAAGTTAGAATAGCAATCATCAAGGTGAGCTTTCAATTTTGTTGTAAATTTTTAGTATGAGCAATAGTGCTTTAAAACTTTTTTATATTTTTTATGGGCAATGGCATTAAATTTTGTCGTTTTTCTTAAATTTTTAGGCCCTAGGATCAGCCATACAGTATGGTTCAGCCACTCCCATTAATGATTGCTTGCCTGGATTAGCTCAGAGACTGTGTGACAGTAATCCGTCAGTTCGTTTGTGCTGTATCAGAATAATAGGAGACTGGCTAGTGGAACTACCTGATAGGTATAATAGTAATAATAATAATAATAATAATAATAATAAGTGTATAAAAACAGCTTTGCTTATTATTCTTATAATAATAATAATAATAATAATAATAATGTTGTGTATTTAAAAGATATTAATAATAATAATAATAGCGTTATTAATTGTATTATTATTATTATTATTGTTTAAATAGATATTCGTATCATCATAAATTGATTCCGTTATTACTAACTGGTTTAACTGACGAATTGGATGAAATTAAAGAAACTGCCCACAAGCTATGGACACAAGTAAGTCGCCATAATGTCCATGTACTTATACTTTACATTTATTTGTAGGTAGGTGCAAGCTATGAGAGAGAGAATGAAGACGACTTAAAAGATAAAATGGATTTCGCTCAGTTGAAAGATCCTTTCCCATCTTTAGGTGAATCTTTCTTCTCTCTCTCTCTCTTCTACTCATTAGTTTTTTTATAGAATTCAAGAGACCTCCTCTTGGCTGTAGAATACTTGTCTATAGAAACTTCTCAAAGATCTTCCCGGCGATATTGAGAGACCTCAAAGACTGGACTGTCAACAGTCGTATCAAGGCCTCGCAGCTCCTCCAGAGTCTCTTGTATCACATGGAGGACTCCATCACTCATCACATACAGCTGGTTCTTGATGGACTTTATAAATCAAGTCAAGATGAAGAGAAGAGCGTCATTGAATGGACTTGCAAATCAGCTCAGATCATAGGTAATGCTTTTATGGAAATGCATGTACATGTACAGTATAGCCTCTCTTAATGGACACTCTCTATAGCGTACACTTCCATTTAACGACAGCACCTAGTGTACTGGTTACATTCCTTACTGTATAAAATAACTTCCACATAAAGGACACCTCTGTATAACAGAGCAACTGTCCTTGTACCATTAACTAATGTGCTTTCTATTTCAGGTTATTATGTTTCTCCTGAGATTTGGTGTCACCTTGTTTTACCAGCTGTGCGTACCTCTGGAGGTTGTCCTACTAATGGAGAGGGATCAGCAGTACCTGTTGGTCCGGTTCAGTGTACCGGTTGTTTGATGGTTCTCTGTCATCTACTGAAAGGGAGCATTAATGAACTTGTAGAACCTTATTTAAAAGTATGGCCACCGTAACTTGATCTTTTTTTATTTGCCTTTCTTTCTCCCTCCTTTTCTCATTTCTCTTCCTCTCTCTTTCACTCTCTCTCCCTCCCTCTCTCTCTCTCTCTCTCTCTCTCCACCTTCCATTATTTATAGGATATATCTCTTTGTCTGGCTGAGCCTGATCTAACCCAATCTTGCCACACTCCATTACTGGATCAACTGCTTGCTTGTATATCTCAAGTCATACACATCTCTTCTCCTCTCTTGTCTTCTCTCTCTATTCATTTATTTATTGTTTTGCTTCGACTCTCTTCCACTTCTTCTCTTGATCCTGTCAAAGCTGTCATGATTGGTTTAGCTGATAAGATGTCTTTGGATAATGTTGGTTGCTTATACTCGCGGCATATGACAGAGATAGTAGCCATCTTGAAAGTGAGGATGAAGATATGGTTTAAAGACTGTAGACCTTAGTACATGGTCACAGGCCAAATTTTGGGAAAATGAAAAGGAGAGAATTCTCCATTTTTATTACATTTCCTGATACATATACATGTTCTTATGTTGCATAGAAAGTTTGAGCTGATTCTGATCAAAATTGGATTTTTATGAATTTTTAAAGTTGCTCTGAAATTGGACCAAAGTCCCTGTACTATAGTACAGGGTCATGAGCCAATTTTTGCCAAAAATGAAAAGGAGAGAATCCTCCACTTTTATCATTTTTCCTGATACATATACATGTTCTTATGTTGCATAGAAAGTTTGAGCTGATTCCGATCAAATTTGGATTTTTTACGAATTTTTAAAGTTGCTCCAAAATCAAGTAAAAGTCCCTGTACTATAGTACATGGTCACGAGCCAATTTTTGCCAAAAATGAAAAGGAGAGAATTCTCCACTTTTATAATTTTTCCTGATGCATATACATGTTCTTATGTTGTGTAAAAAGTTTGAGCCAATTTCGATCAAAATTGGATTTTTTAATGAATTTTTAAAGTTGCTCCAAAATTGGACCAAAGTACAGGGTATATTTTTGTCAAAAAAGGCTAGGATGTATTTTTAATGCAATGCTCATGAACATATACATTTACTAAAATTATATGTCTTTTATATTACATGTACATGTAGGTTGATTATAAGGTTTGGTCTCTGAATTCTCCAAATTGCAAGCTTTGTCTGAGCTTCCTGTCCTGTGACAATATACTCAGTACATTAGACAATGAAGCAATGGAGGAACTGATACTGATCCTCTCGCACTGCACTGATCCTGAGCAAGAACCAGAACTAAGACTGAAGTAAGGGAGAGAAAGAAAGCAGAAGAGGGATCCTACATTGATCCTTTTTTCTATTTCTTAATCATTTAATTTCTGTAGTACATGTACATGTACATCTACTTTTTCTTAATAGGTTTATCACAGTTCTCATTAAATGTTTGGTTGATGTCTCCACTTCACAACACAATCAGTTATTACAGTCTCACTCAACTTCAATCATTAAGAATATCATTGTACCTTCTTGCATCTGGAAAGCAGGAAGGTCAGCCATCATAATTGCAATAATATGTTTTAATGTATAATTTGATCTACATCAATTGTAATGTATAATTGAATTTTTGTACAATTTTCATACTTTTTGTTGTTTCTTATTTTATTTTTTTATCAGGACAGCAGCTGCTATAAGAACAGCTGCACTCTCCGGAGCTCAAGCTCTCCTTCATTCCTCTCTCTTATCTCCTGATCAGATCCAATCACTTCTTCCTCATTTCCTACCACAAGTACAATACCTCCCTCTATTATTTAATCTCGTCTGACCGGTTTTCAAAACAGGTCTTGTCTTGTCTTGATGACGATAATTCTTCCACTCGTCTTGTCTCCTGTAAAGTCCTTGGGCTTTTACTACAATCGGCACCGAAAGCCCAATCAAGTAACTATTAATGAATTTTAATAACTATTTATAACTATTAATAATTTTATTGCTCCTAGTTGATGAACTCCATCAGTTATACAGTCACTTATTGAAGAGGTTGGATGATAGCTCTGACACTATAAGAAATGAATGCTCAAGTTGCCTCATTTCTTATTTCAATTGTTTCCCTATGCCTTACGACTCTGATCTATACAAGGCCCACACTGAAGCTATCTATGCTGCATTACTGATTCACCTTGATGATCCTTCTGATATGATACAAGTATATTATTAATAATTATTATTATTGTTATAGTAATAATGGTGATGGTGATGATGATGTTAATAAGTATGCCATTCTTGATGCTTCTTAAGCAAAAGAAAAAAAGAATATAAAGGTGGCTTCTTTATATTCTTTTTTTCTTCTCCAGTCATCAATTCTTGGTGTCTTGGAGTCTGCTTCAAGACTCAATCCATCTTTGCTAATGGAGATGACAGAGAAAGTGAAGAGCAAGCATAGAACAACAAAGTAGGAAGATGGTTTTAGTACATTTCCTTTTTATTCTCTTTTTAGATATTGTGATAAATTGTTGGCACATCTTTCACAGAAAAGTAAATAAATGTGATGAGTGCTTGTACATGTACAGTATATGTGAAAAGGAATGAGAAACATATAAAGAACAATGAACATTAAATTATTAACACATAATGGTAAATTAATCATTATAATCTTTTGCACTGTATGGTAGAATTATAATCTGCTTCAATGGAAGATGCAGTTAAACATGTTAATAATTATTATTTATTTTTGTAATTTTATCAGTCTTTCTCGTACACAACAATTTCATCATCGTCGCCATCTTCTTGTTTTAAACTTTGCTCAGTTTTTTCTAGTCTCCTGTACCTACAGTTAGTTAGATATAAAGAAGGAAAGAAGAGAGTCAAAACCATGGTTTAATATATATATTATTACCTGCTCAACTTGGCTCTTCTCTGCTGTGTTCTGTAGTATTTATAAGCTAATATAGCAGCAACAATACCAATAATTACGATGACCTATACATAGTACATTGATTGATGATAAATAATTTCATTTACTCACTACAATGAGGACTTTGTTGGCAATTGAAGCAAAGTCTAGTCCTGAGAAAACGCCCGCTGGCTCTGTTCCTTCCATTTCCTGGCCATTGTTGTAGATTCCTTTAAGTTAAAATATGTAGGTAATGTTTTTATTATTGCAGGTACTAGCTCACCTTCTGTAGAGTTGTTTGCTGATAGAGAAAGACCAGCGAAGACGGACAACAACAGGAACAGAGTGGCGGCCATTTTGAATAACAAACCACGCCCTTCAATGAGCTTATTTTAACCCGTTAGATTACCTAATTATTACATCATCTTGCATCATTGGGTACCCACGTGCGTACATAACGAGGTACATAATGAGTCTATGTAGATTCTCCATTGGGGCAAGATCTTGTCTTCTAGCAACGAGAAGATCCTCTAGTGCTTTAGCAAGAGGGAGAGTGACGGCCATTAGAGATGGGAAACCACTAGGAACCTGGATTAATAGATTTACTAATCGCTATAGTAGAGCAAACACTAACAGTAGCAAGGAAGATAAAAAGGTGTGGTGATTGAAACAGGAGTACTTTTGTATTATTGTATTTTAGGATGAGTCAGTGAGCAATGAGGGTACTACTGATAATGGGAATGGCAAAGAGAATGACCTAGAGCCACCAATCGATATAGATGCTCTGAAGAAAACGTTATTAGACAAAGACGAACTCTTAGCGAAAAAGGATGCAGAACTAAACGAATTAGAGGTAGCAATTATCAATTAATTAAATATAAATGTTTATGAGGTTTGTACACAAGATTGAATGACATATGGTGAAACTACAGTAGAAATAACAATGATGTATATAATAAGTTTATTTACTTTTTAACTTAATCTCATTTCCTTTTGTTTCATATGTTATATCCTTCCCCTCCCTTTAGGATAAGTATAAAAGAGCTCTGGCAGAGACAGAGAACACGAGACACCGCATGCTCAAACAGGTCCAAGATGCTAAGCTATTTGGCATACAAGACTTCACCAAAGATATAATCAGTATCGCTGACGTCTTAGAAAAGGCTATAGAGAGTGTCCCATCGACTCAAATTGAAGGAAAGGAAGCCAACCAGTCGATAGTCAGCCTTTATAATGGTCTGAAAATGATGGAGACCAATCTTCTAAAAGTTTTTTCTAAGCATGGACTCTCGAAAATAGAACCTGGAGATGGTGAGAAGTTTGATCCAAACTTGCATGAGGCTCTGTTTCAAATACCTGGAGATAAAGTGGGCACAATAGGAGCTGTGTCTAAGGTCGGGTATGTATTGAATGGGAGGACGATTCGGCCGGCGATGGTGGGTGTGGTCAAGGAAAAGGACTGAAATCATAATGTTATTTGTTGTTATATAAATTATGTCATTGTTTAATGTTATGATGTTATGTGTTTACATACTGGAGCCATATTATCATTATTGCGTGGGCGGCTAATCTCATTTGTCCTTTCTTTCATTTTCCTTCTCTTTGACATTAATCAGGTTTTAAGTTAGACTATGTCTATTCTATTATGATGTATTTTTGCAGTTTCTTAGAAGCTGATGCAATATATGCATCATGATTGAAAGTATTGGTCTTCATTCTTTATTTATGAATTATTTTACGATTGTAATTTGTATATATAATTATTTGGATTGGCTTTTAGCCAAATTATACATCTGATATGCAGAAACTGTTGGGAATTCGCTAGTATTTTTATGCTGCTGTAATCATTTTTATTCATTGCAATTTAATAATAATAATGTGAGCACTATATCACCTGTCATTCATTAAAAAGGACCTGCATGAAATAAGTATGCAAGTTATATGACATAAAAACAATATTAGTAATAATAATAATAATAAATCAAAATTCTTCATAAGCGAATGGTTAAAATGGCTCTAAAAATAAAAATAATAGTAATACTAACAATTAAAATTAAAGAGAGTACATTCAAAACGGTAGAAATTATCAAAGCTCAGAAGAGCTTTTGTGTAATTATAAAAAGAATAGCCAGTTTCAATATAATAATGCCATTAATAATAATAATAATAATAATAATAATCTATTACTGTGTTATAGAACATGTACTTCTTCTTAAACTGATAATAATTCGACCGTCGTTCCACATTCAACTTTCATCGCGTGCTCTTCGTTTCCTCCGATGACGATCATTCGACCAGCCGAGAGAACAGCTGCTATACACTTAGCATGAGCAGTGGGCATTTCGCAAAGAAAGCTCCACCTACTCATCTCCGGAAAATAAACATACACACTTCGAGTGGGCGTATTAGAACCAGCCATAGCCCCACCCACCGCTAGTAAGAAGTTACTAGAAGGCACAGCGTAGGATTTCGTAAGAGGAGCGTTTTGTACAAGCGACCAGCCGACTGATGAAGGGTCGCCGGTTAATGGTATAGTCTGGACGACATTTGAAGCTCCGCCCTCCCCGTAGAGGGACCCGCCCAGGATATAAAGAATGTCTCGCACGACGCAACAGCTAGCACAGGACGTGGGGACAAGAAGAGGAGGAAATGAGATCCATTGGAATGTCGCTTGATCGAAAACCTCGACGTCAGCCAAGACTTGCTTGTTTCTATAGCCACCAGCAACTATAAGTGACAGATTATGCGAGGCGACACACGGGTTTTGACGCGATACATTCATGGAGGGTAGGGTATTACACCACTCCTGTCTCTCCTTGTCCCACATGAAGAGCTTGTTGGACGTTTTTCTCGTCATTATCTCCAACCCGCCCACCAGTACAAGAGTCTTGTTGACCACGCCCATGGAAAAGTAAGCGATGGGGCAAGTTGGCAGTGCAGTCCATTTGTGTACCATACCACTGATGTCATACTCATATAGTATACGATCTATTAGTGAGTGTGTGTGTGTTTAAGGAAGAATGAAGTAGTAATTATTATGTTTGTCAACAAGGGGGGAAGACGTAAATTAAAGAGGGACAGGCCACAAAGAGAGGGGAAAGGAGAAATATCAACACAACCAAAGCTAAGCAATTAAGGCCAAGTTTGTGGGTGCTTTGATCTACAAGCAGTACATTGTTTTTAGACATAGAACAACTTTTATTTTAGGCATACAAAACTACCTATAATGGATGTAAAAGTATACAGTGTAGCCTCTTTTAATAAGGACACCATTACTCCATTAGGCCCACAATCCCACACTAAAAACATCTCCTTAATACAGATGCATCCTTATCTTAAGCTGTCCTTTTTATAGAGGCTACACTGACTGTATTACAAGCATTACCTGATTGTAAATCTTTAGTCATTCCTCCTCCAATATACAGCTTTCCTTCCAATACAATTGCACTTGCACTGTGCATGCCAACTGGAGCTGGGGACGCTCTCTTCCAATGAAAGACACTTTGGGTTGGTTTGAGGATTGGAGAGCCACTACTTGACTCCTAGCAGAGAGAAAGAAGAAAGGGAGGGAGAGAGGAAAACAAGAATGAGCTCAAGTATGAATTGAATGGAAAATTTGTCATAACACAAACACAAAAATTTACTAATAAGAATATGACAATAGTACACAAGCATAATAATGTTCTTGAGATGGCGAATAGCTACAAATACAGCTATACTGCCTTATATATATTGAGTGGGAGATGACTATTATGAATTTGTGGACTCAGACTGTTTCACTGTTAAGAATAACTGTGAATTTTAAAGACGTAGTGTTTAACAGCGATTTTAAGCTGTAAGAGATACTGTGAACTATTATTGCTATCTAAACGGCACTACTTTCTTAAGCTTTTTTTTTTTTAATGACGACTACTAGCAAGAGAGTACTACAATACTACAATCACGAAAGTTTGGTGGAGGCATACTTTATAATGCTTTAGAGTAGACAGCTGCAATTTCCATCTTATGCTATGTTCAATTATGCATTTACACTTTTATGAATGAGTGAACGCATTATGATAATACTGTATGTATAATTATATAAACAGAAAGGGAAAAAGGGCTATATATATTCATACCTTGTCATTTTTCCCCGATCTGTTGGATGTGGTTAGTTCCAATGGTGGCTGCAACAAGCTGTTAACAGCTGCTGCTTGAGGTGTCTTTCCCTCCAAACCTCCAACTAGCTCTTCCTCCATTTTCTTCATCTGCTCTTTAATGGTTGCCAATTGCTCGTCGTAAGTACTCAATCTTCTTCCAAAGCCTTCCACCTCCTCCTGCCCAGCTCTAAGCTGGCTCACCATAGTAACAAGCTCTCCTTCTCGTCTCTCCATTGTTATCAGTAGCTCGAGTGATGTCTGAAAAGGTAGGGGTTGCTCTGAAGAGAACCGAGTGAGACGCTCGACAAGTGTGAGGGCAAGTGGTCGTTGAGCTGGATCATTTTGAAGACACTCCTTCACGAGTGGAAGGAGATTATTTTTTTCCGGGATTTGACTGATGTACATTCCTCGTCTCTCGATTTCCTTTTTCCCCTCGCCCGTGGGTATGGGGTATTTCCCAGACAGTATGTGAAGGACGAGGACCCCGAATGAAAAAACATCCCCGGCCATGGTGAGGGGTTGTTCCTCTGGAGGAGGAGCATAACAAGTTTGTTCGGGAGTCTTCGTATGAGCGATTATAGCAGCCCCTTTCGAGCCTCCGCCTGAACCCGACTCCAAGATGGCTGCGACGCCAAGATTCGATAATTTCGCTTCCAGCCCACGCGTTAGTAATACGTTATTAGCTGATAAGGACCCATGGGGTACGGGGGCTTTGGGCCGATTATGTAAATAGGCCAGACCTTGGGAGACATCTCGTAAAATTGAGTGTGACACCGCAGGTGGTAGGCGAGTATTGGCACTTATAATGTTAGCCAGATTAGTTGGGAGAGATGGAGTAATTAGTATAGGTGCAGGGCCATCTTGCGTGGAGAGTGCTACTCCGATATGTTGTACTAAATTAGGATGATTTAGACTGAAGACTAGCTCGCAATGGCGTCTCAACCTGCCCAGTAACTCTTCTCCGCCTTTCTTCTTTTCTAGTCTGAGGTGAACGTCGTGTAGCTTGTTGCCTCGGTACTCTGTTCCCTGCCATCTGACCCGGACGGTGCTAGAGTAAGCGCCTTTCTCGATCGCCTCTCCAATTTCCACGGCGTCTTCTAGCAGGTAAGGACCGATACTGGCCTTTAGTCTTTTCTGCACTTCCATTCTTCGAGACTCTTTCGCTTTTACTTAGTTCTCTTTATTGTTTGTCTTTTTTAATCCGGCCGGCCCTGCTGTTTTGCTGGCTGCCTACCTCTCTCTCACTGCAAAAATTAGCAGCTCCTTCTCATCAAGGGGCGTGACCCTAGCTTCTAATGGGCGTGGTTGTCTAAAATTAAATAGGTGTGGTTAATGTGTTTTATTGGTAGGTGTGGCTCTTGCTAATGGAATTGAAAGAAAAGGCTTAGTTTTATAACAATTCTCTATTTGCATACAAACAGTTGCTGGCTCTCCTTTACTCCCTCCTTCTCTTCATTTATTATAGGACAATCCTTTGGGCCCGATAATGTCTCTAGGAAAAGAAATGTTAGTTAATAATTTTCTAAATATATGACACTCTCTCCCTCCCCTTTTAAAATACACTCTCACTCTCTCCCCTCTCCTCTTCACAGTACAATGACTGTCCCTTATTCAAGCACCTCTGGCTATGGGTTTCTCATTGATGGAAATCGCAAGCCGCTACGTGTCTCGCTGGTTGAGAAAGACTCAACTTCACAAATGGCCGGACTCATGACTGGTGACCTACTACTAACAGTCAATGGGCATAATGTTAAAGACTCAATACTACAAACCGTCCAGTCCATCATTAGTTATTCAACCGGCTCACCTCTTACGCTAAAAGTTGCCAGACCCCAGATTAGCGAGAGCAAAGCTAAGGTATCTGCTCTTTATTTTTTATTTTAAATTTAATCTCTCTTTTTTTCTTTTTATTAATAGGCTAACCAAACAAGTAAGTTAGATTTTTTAATGAAGAAAGAGGGTAATTTTTATTTGTGTGTGTGTGTGTTGTCTATGTTGACTCTTTGTCATGGGCCTGATCTCAGTTATGTTGAATGAGTGATCATTAGAAATGTCTTTAGACATGTAATGTCTGTCACTTCCGATGTGAATTAAGCTAATTATAAGCTATTAAAGATGTGCTGCAATGCATGTATATGTACATGTAGATATATGTCAACTTTTAATTGATTTTATTGCTCATCATTTGTACCTTTGAAGCTGCTAATGGACGTATACATGTACATGTTTAATCATTTTTATTTACACTTTTGTAGCTATTTTTTATGACATATTGGTATATGTAGTAGACATGTTTTTATTTTCTTTCTTTCAGTGGGTGTGTGTATGATTTCGTATCAATTATGAAAGTTTTTTTAATCTGATAATGCAACCAAAACATCACTCATTGTCATTACCATCATTATCGTTTTGTTATTATTGTACTGACATATGGGCTTGAGTGGGTTTCATGATTCCTTTTATGAGTTGTTGTTGACACACACTCGTATACGCATTCACTTTAACTCGCCTTAAAATATTTAATAAGATTAGTTTATTAAAATTCTGTAGCCTAAAACTATCCAGTTGGGAGCCATGTTAATTGAATATTATGAGATTAAGCGAATCAGATAAACTGCTTTGTTATTGCTTTTGTGCTTTCTCCCTCCATCTCTCTCTCTCTCCCCTCTCTCTCTCTCTCCCCTCTCTCTCTCTCTCCTCTCTCCCTCCTCTCTCTCTCTCCTCTCTCCCCCTCTCTCTCCCTCTCTCTCCCTCCTCAGGTAGTCTTAATGCTTATCAAGCTGCTGTAGGTGATGCTATGCGTTCAGCTCAAAACGCTTTTGATCTTTTAGGATTATCACCATCAAAGAACAAGGACAGAGAAGAGAAAGAAATCTCCATTGAACTGGATGCAAATCCAAGCGATAGTGACCAGTCCTTCCCTCCTTCTTCTCGATCAGAGGACGACGAGAGAGAAGAGCTGGACGAGGACCCCATCATGGATTTCACTCATGGGTCGGACGAGTACACTCACGACTCTCATGGTCATTTTTCAGCTGCAATGGTGGGTGGGATTATACGTGCCCAGCAAGCTTTACAAGGAATTAAAGATCTATCGGCATCAACAAAGCCTAAGACTACGCAGCCTAAGCCTCAAGTATCTAGCGAAGCTAGTATTGAGATTGGTAGACGACCATTGAAAGTGAAAGAGGTTTCAAATGAAGCTCCCATTCCTCCAGCAAAAGGTCATGACCAATCAGGAGTAAGGATTGAGGTTAGTGTTGCTGATGGTAAAGGAAGTGGATCTGTTGTTGAAAAAGCACCAACTAGACATGAAGAGGGTACTGAACCTCCTCCTTTCCCTCCTTCTCGGTCTATTCCTCCTCCTGTCTCACCTCAGTCTCAGGTGCCAGTCATTCATCAAGACATGAAGTCCCTACCTCATCCTTCAATGCCTCCTTCTGTCCCTCCTCATTCTCCATCTTCTTTTCCTCCTTCTCCTTCTCTTCCTCCAACTGTCCCTCCTCACTCTCCATCTTCTTTTCCTCCTTCTCCTTCTCTTCCTCCAACTGTCCCTCCTCACTCTCCATCTTCTCTACCTCCTTCTACTCTCCCTCCTCCTTCTCTCCCTCCTCCTTCTCTCCCTCCTCCTTCTCTTCCTCTTCTTTCCTCCTCTCAGTCCTCATCAAATGACCTGCTCTCCCCATCCTCCAACCCTCCTCCCATTCCTCCTTACAATCCGGTAGTTCCTGACACGTTCCTCCTCAGCAATCGTCCTGAGTATCAGCTCCAAGTAAAGAAGCAGATGCACTCGTACGAAGACGTCTCACTTCAGTTGAAGGCTTCACCTCAAGATGAGGCTCCTCCCACTACCCCACCCACTTCTGGTGTTGTATTGAGAAGCAAAGGGAGAGGTGCGGCTAAGAAGACGGTCGTAGAAGATCTTGAAGTGGGTGGGGCTTCAGTTTCGACTCCTCCCCCTCCAGTTATTGTGACTGATTCTCCTCTTGATCCAGTGAAGGCTTCATTTGGTCTACCAGCTAGTGGTGAGTTTGGACTGATTTTTGAGCAAACTTTTAAAATTATAAAAATCAACTGACAAGAATCTGCATGAGCACTATACCAAAATACTGTAATAACAATAGTTAGCAATTTAATAGTCCATTCTGTAAGCTTGATTACGTTTTCTATTTCTCTCTCTTTCTTTCTCAGTTCATACGTGGAAGATATCTCATGTGCTAACATGGCTGAGTCAGTTAAACTCAAGTCTCAGTGAGCTGTACAATGAATGCTTTACCCAGCATAGCATTACTGGTAAGAGAATAATAATAATAATAATTAATAGTCCAGCATAATTCAATGCCATGTGTACATGTACATGTACATGTCATTTCTCAAATTCTATATTAATTTTACATATTTTCCTTTATTTAATTTGTAGCTGTACAATACAGTGTACATATAATAGATTCCTATTGTTATATTTGGGATTCCCGTGATCATTTTTAAGAGTATAAAGTCCACACGTGCAGCATTCCTGCAATAACTGTTCATGTACATGTACATGTGCATGACACATGCTGTGCTTTAAATAAATAATAATTATTCTACCATGCCACCTTGCGATTGACCAATCAGATTGCTGTATTGGAGGTCAATTATTTTTCATATTAACCTAGCTCGTAAAAATATAAACCTATCTCGTTAAATAATTAATTGATTGGCAGTTTGGTACTCTACGCTTATGCTCTTATTAGTCCATTTGTCAAGCTTGGTTGATTCTTTACTGGCCTAGCCTGTTAGATATGTTGTATGCATGTCAACTGTGGTCTTATTATCAGCAGCTGGTAGTTGTTTTTCAAGTGTCATGGTAGAAGTTGGTTATACACCTCGGTATCGGTTTCTATGGCATTTATTAACCTCGCGACTGCGTCGCTCGGTTAATAAATACCATAGAAACCTCTACCTCGGTGTATAACCTATACTTAAGTTGTTGTTGTTTTGACTGTATGAACAATTACTGTCATTTGCTATGTACATGTACATCTAGACATCACTTTAAGTAGTTTTTGTTTGCTAATGTATGCATTTATATACATAAGATATGGGCAATTTAATGGTGTGTGTGTGTTTGTGTGTGTGGAGATTTTTTATAATTTCCACATTATTTATTATTATTTTATTTGCTGTTTGTAGGTCACACTCTATTACATTTAAATCAAAGCAAGCTCCAGTACATTGGTATTGACAATAAAGATCACAGGTAAGCTGATCCAGGCAAACTCTTACCTCATTCATTTTATAGCAATTTCTGAAATATACCCTGTACTATAGCCCATGCTTTTTTTTGGAAAAATGGCCAAAAAATCACCCCCAATTTTTATTACATTTTCTGATACATATTGATGTCTTTATGCTGTGTAGAAAGTTTAAGCTCATTCCGACTTAAAATTTTCAAGTTATGGCCAATTTAAGAAAATTGCCAAAACCTGAAAAATACCCAAGGCTATAGCCCATGCTTTTTTTCAAAAAATGGCCAAAAAATCACCCCCAATTTTTATTACATTTTTAAATGCATATTGATATCCTTATGTTGTGTAGAAAGTTTAAGCCAATTCCGACTTAAATTTTTTAAGTTACGGCCATTTTAAGAAACTTGCAAAAATCTGAAAAATACCCAAGGCTATAGCCTTGGGTATTTTTCAGATTTTTGCAAGTTTCTTATAGCCCATGGTATTTTCTGAAAAATGGCCGAAAAATCACCCCCAATTTTTATTACATTTTCTGATACATATTGACATCCTTATGCTGTGTAGAAAGTTTGAGCCAATTCCGACTTAAATTTTTCAAGTTATGCCTATTTTTAAAAATATGCCAAAATCTGAAAAATACTCAAGGCTATAGCCCATGCTTTTTTCTGAAAAATGGCCAAAAAATCACCCCCAATTTTTATTACATTTTCTGATACATATTGATATCCTTATGCTGTGTAGAAAGTTTGATCCAATTCTGACTTAAATTTTTTAAGTTACAGCCATTTTAAGAAACTTGCCAAAATCTGAAAATACCCAAGGCTATAGCCCATGGTATTTTCTGAAAAATGGTCAAAAATCACCCCTACTTTTTATTACATTTTCTGATTCATATTGATGTCCTTATGCTGTGTAGAAAGTTTGATCCAATTCTGGCTTAAATTTTTTAAGTTATGGCCAATTTAAGAAACTTGCCAAAATCTGAAAAATACCCAAGGCTATAGCCCATGGTATTTTCTGAAAAATGGCTAAAAAATCACTCCCAATTTTTATTACATTTTCTGATACATATTGATGTCCTTATGCTATGTAGAAAGTTTGAGCCGATTCTGACATAAAATTTTCAAATTACAACCCTTTAAAAATTCAAATCTATGCATACATTTATATCCACAGCTGCAAAATTTTAAATAAACCTAATTTCTTCTTCTCCATAGAACTCTATTGGGAATGGCTGTTGCTAGATTGAGGCTCCATCATGAACAGAAAGAACTGGAACGTCTGACTGGACAAGTGTCGTGGCTTTAAGATTTAACCACATCTTTTCCATTAAACTTTATTTATCCATTTTTAATTCATTATAATCCTTCATCAATACATTTATTGTTATTATTATTATTGTTATCATTATTATTGTTATTATTATTATTATTCTTAGAAATTGTTTATTCTCTTTGATCATAAACTGATTGTTAAATTGACATTTATATTTAACATTTATATTGTAAACTGGCATATAATAAATATAGTTGATTTGTTATTATTATTATTTAAGATAAAGAATTCAAATCTTTTGGTAGATTTTAACAACATTAGTGCAAGTTATTATTATTAGTTGTTAGTTAATTAAAACCAACAGCCATGTGTGCGTGGGTGTCTTTTATGGAGGCCCTTCTCCAAAAACTGTGACATTTTCCAAGCAGCAGAATTCTCCACTCCACCCCTTAAGCTAAGCCAGGCCAGTCAGCTAGGCTAGCCAAGTTTCTCTTTCTGTAAGAGGCTATGCTGTAGCCTGTAACAGACTTTATACAAGAAAAGGCAGGATAGTTGTACAGCGGAGCGTCAAGGCTTGTTCTTGTACCTTGTTCTTCTTGTTACTTCTGCAGTTATGGACGAGACAACAAAACGGTTTCGTTTACACGTTATCAAAGAGATACACCAGACGGAGCACGATTATACAAGCTCTCTGGAGTTTACCGTCGATGTATGTGTAATTTAAGTACAAGATTTGATGTTCCTATGTAAATTACTATCTCCCTATCTCTTCTCTCTCTCCTGTAGCATATTCTTACTAAAATGAAGCAGCTCTCTACACAGAATCCAAGCATCACTGAAGAAGTGATCGAAAAGCTCTTTTGTAACATTGAAGAAATTCTCGCAGCACATAAAGCACTTCTAGTCGACTTGGATAAAGAGATGATACCCTCCGCTAGCCCTGATGCCCAGATTTCATCTTGTTACGTAAAACATGTATGTACATGTACTTGTAAAGCCGATGCACCATATAAAGCTACATGAGATAGAATGAATTAGCATTAGACCAAGTGATGTATACAAAATTCATTCTTCTTTCTCTCCTCTCTAGCACGAGTCATTCCAAGCTTATAGAGCTTATGGCGAGAATAATGAACAATCACAGAAGACACTATACCAGTTAGAAGATGTCCCATCGCTTAAAGCCTTCTTTGTGGTACGTATTGCTAATATCAAGAGTTCTATGTTAGTATTTCTCCTTTTCCTTCTCTCCTTTTCCAGGGTGCTATGTTGCTAGGAGGTGTTAACGAAGCCTCCATCAGTTCCTATCTCTTTAAACCTATACAAAGAATATGTAAATATCCACTTCTCTTTAAAGTTAGTTTGTCATTCATGAAGAGTACACATGTGTGTGTACATACATGTACATGTACATTCATTGCAGTACTTTATTTGTATATGTACAATGCATTTTACTCTTTCATCTTCCACTCTCTCCCTCTTCTCATTTTTCTATCACTTTCTCATTTTTACAACTTGTACTCGCTTCCTACTCTTCCTCCCTCTCTCTCTCTCTCTTTCTCCTCTCCCTCTCTCTCTTTCTGCTCTCTTAGGAGCTTTTAAAATACACTCCTGAAAGCCACAAAGACTACGAAGATACAGTCAAAGCTCTGGGTAACATGAGAATACTGTGCTCAGTCATAAATGAAGCGAAACGTAGAGTCGAGAGACTCGAAGCTATTGCCGAATGGCAGGAGACCATAGAAGGTTGGGAGGGATCGCCTGTAGTGGACACCTGCTCTGAACTTGTTAAAGAGGGATCATTGATAAAGATATCAGCTGGTAATATGCAGGAGAGAGTCTTTTTCTTGTATGATGGACTACTGGTCTACTGCAAGAGGGCAGCAAGGTAGAGAGGGAGAAAGAGAGAGGAGAGAGACAGAGAGGTGGGGGAGAAGGGAAGGAAAGAAGAGGAGAAGTATGCAGCGACATTACAATCCTTAATGATCTGTGTCACTATTATTCTATAAGCTATAAAAAAGTCTACATAAGTTATGTCCATATTGAAGTATAGATATGCTATTCATGCATGTGATTGACAGCAGCTCTAGATAAAGAATTTTGTAGCTTACATGCCAATATTGTCCTGTGTTTTGATTTGGTGGAGTTTTTACTATATATAGGAGTTTGTGAGTGTCTCAATTATTAGCATTGATGCACTTAGTGCATCTGTTTATGGTATTATGGCATATTTTGTCCCACTCTCTCTCTCTCTCCTACTCCCTCTCTCTCTCTTTCACTCTTCCTATCTCTTTTCCTCCTACTCTCTCTCTCTCTCCTACTCTCCTACTCTCTCTCTCTTTTCCTCTTTCTCCTCTCTCTCTCTCTCCCAATGCAGCTTCTCATTAAGAACTAAAGCAGGTAAATAAACAATAACAACAACAACAAGTTTTCTATTCAAATCCAGCTACATATATATTATAACGCATTAACGATGTAACACAGTAACACATATGCTGCGTATCATGTACATATACATCTACAGGAGGCTGCGAGTACTTGCACATGTGCGTGGTTAGCATACTTCACTAATAATAACATAAGCTTGGTCCAGTTTATGTTTTCTCTCTGCCCTGGATTGTTGTATATCATATCAACCGTTCATTACGCCAGCTGCTTTCTCTTGACTTTATAAATAGCTCCCCTCCCTAAAGAATATACAGTTCACATGCATATTCTTGTATATATAAGTACTGATACATACATGTACATATTCTTGTACATATGTTTGAGTATTGGTAATCTTGCTGTATTGTTCTTGTGTGTACTTTAGTTGTGTGTGTAGGAGCATTATTGCAGCTGCTCCTGCTTCTAATACAACCTCTTCTGTTGATAGTCATGCACTGTCTGTTTGCAAACACTTGGAATGAAAAACAGTTAGACCTGAAGCCTCTGACCTAATGTACTCCGGCCATTAATCTTCTACTTATATAATAATATTACTGAACTATGTGATGCTGTATTGTTTAAAGTTGCCATTTTGAATTTTTACTTCGATTCAAGATTGACGTAGAATTAGAATTTGGTCAATTTTGCATTAAGCATTTACACGTATAACTTCAAAGCGTTATCTGCATCAAAACTCAAAAGGTTGTTTTATATCGACTGTCAATCTTACTTTAGAACTAAAATTGTTTAAGTTGCTGTACTTGAATTTTTTTCTCTTATTT